ACCTTCATTTCTGAAATCAAGTTATTTGAGCTGTGGCGTATGATCACTGTTAGAGCTTTCTGACCTCCATCTACCCCTTTCACAACATCGCCAGAAAGAAAACAAATATCCCAGCACATGAACCAAATTGACTAAAAGATTAACTTTCTTTTAAGATAAGTTATTTTGTATATATTGAACTAAAATGCTGAGTGTCAGAGCAGAGCCCTTCTTTGATGTGTTTGGCTGGCGTCTGAGCAGAAGCTATTAATCAATGGTCGTGTATTTAAAAAAAAATTGAACAGCTACCTGCTATGGATTAATCTAACCAGGTCCTAATGCCACTGAAGTCACTGCATTTTCTACCTATGGCCATGTCCAGATCCTGCTGAACCATTTCATTTAGCAGATTTGAAATTATTATACAAACTATTGAGACGATGCCCTGGGGACCTGCAGTAATATATGAGGCTTTGATTCTAGGACACAATTTGGCTTGTATTCATTCAAAATAGACTTGGATAACCACTGTCAACATCTGATTTTTTACAGTCATCAATGTGTAAACCGGGATGTCATAGTGAACACTTTCTTCAAACCCTTGAGCACATACTGGTACAGCTCAGTTTAAATCTACTTTCCAAATAAATAAAAATTGGCTAAGAAGTCGACAAATGAACGCTGCTGGTATCTGTTTGCATTTGGTGAACACACCTGGTACAGCAAGCTGTGTCTAACACACACAGACACCACATTCTGTATGTGTGTAGATAATTCACACAGGGATACGATCTTATTCTTCCGCCATTTGTGCCAGTTAAAGCAAATAGAAAAATAAAAAAAGTAAAGTGCTTCGGATCACAATGATGTGCATCACAGTCCAGAGAAGCTTATTGAAGACCTAATAGCTAGGGAGGCAAAGCGAGAGTGAAGAAAGTGAGAGATAAAAGAGCCGTGACCATTCACTCTATTCCTGCTGGCCTATCTCCTCCATCAACCTGGCAGTGCCAAGGAAATACAGTTCATTATCATTGATCACACTCGACTCCGCACTCACACAGATGCTTTAAAGAAGTTACACACACACACACACACACACAACCAAACACCCACCAAAAGAGACACCCTAAACAGATGTCTGTAGCATCTGTAACTTCTAAAATGGAAAGCTCTTGCCAAGAACGGCTTTCATATTTCACATGTTACACGTTTTATATCTACTCACCAGGGAACCAGCAAGACAGAACAGGATTATACAGTAGCAGTAACCCTCACAGCCAGGTCTGCTGGCCTGATGGCATACAGTGTTTTATTGCCATGCAATTTGCCTCGGCTGCTGTAGTTATTTTTAATTACAGCTGTGTGATGCACTATTATCAAAGTTATGGGCCAAGACCTTGTGTTTGTGCGTTACTGTCAGCACACATGCACATGTAAATTGATGAGGTGGGAGAGAAGTACGTTGATAGACACCCAGCATCTCTACACTCATGAATATTCAACAGGAAATGTGAATGTTAGTGCTTCCATAAAGCAAATTTGTTAGCAGTAAAAGCAGAGAGGAAGAAATAACAGCTGAAACCCTTTGTTATGTGTGGGAGTTGACGTGATGCCTGCCAAAGGATAATGTCACGCCTTAAGAGATAACACTTTTCAGGAGGAGGCGCTCTGCTTTTCTGCTAAAACTTTCTTGGAAGCACTTTGTTTGAACTCGGTCTTCTTTGAAAACTTCACTACAAAAGATGGTATAGTCTCTAGCTATGTCATCAAAAGAGTAGAGTAAAAGTGGGCAGTGTGATGTAAGATGTTACACACATATACACTCACACAGCACTTGTGGGTATTCTGAATCAGTTTTTAGTGAGGCTGAGGTAAAAGTTGCAAATATCGTCTGTCTCTGGATCCCTTTAATAAAGCACTAGAGAAAGGATGATATAATTAGACCATACAGAACAAATTAAAATATTCAATGTGACGATATGAAAACAGTTTTCTTATTATCTCTCGTGATCAAATAACATCTCCTTACAGCTCTTTCCTTCATTTCTGTCTTCATGTCAAACATGACAAAGCTGCTCCTCCTCCTCTCATACAAAGGCTGTAATCTTTCCCCAACACTAGACCCACTAACCTATAACTCACAGGTCAGAGTGTGCAGCTGTGTCTGTGTGTGAAGAGGCGTGCATGAAATAGTGTCTGTGTCTCTGTAAGGTTGCATCCGTCAGTGCTGCCGGCGCAGTTATGGCCTGGCCTTTTCAGGGTCAATGTTCAGTTCTGAGCTCATTACCCATGTTCAGAGTGATTATGGTTGCATGCGCTTGGGTCCCTGTCTGTTCTTTTAAAAAAAAAAAACACTATGACCAACGAAGAGGCCTCCTTCATAAATCACACACTGTCCACGAACATGGTCCCTCCTCACGGCCAGTTGCTGACAATCACAATATGTCTGGACCGAGTTCTGTGTCTGACCAATCGAAACGCTTCTGTGCCAGGTCAGCTATAGGTCAACTCTTCAAACAACCATCCCGTTGAGACAAAAAACAAGCTTGAATGTGTCTCGCAGTACAAACAAATCATTAGACAGAAAAGGCTTCCTGCCAACGCTTGTCATTCTCTGGGGCTGATCGGGGTTCTGACAACGATCCAGCCCTACTGTCTGGACTAGTTAGGCTGCAGAGGGAAGAGGGAACAGAGGCGTTTCGATCAATACAGGCTCATTATCTGTTGCCTTCTGTCCCATAGAGATGAGTCCCACTGCTAGGCCTGTTGATGAGGAAAGCGCACCACAATTCAATTAGGGGATGGCCGAGATGCCAAAAGAGGTTTGATCAAAGCACTCTGCTTTGCTAATTAGCACACACAGCGGTTCACAGGGGCTATTTTTACATCTGAGGAGCAGAGCATGTTGTTTTGTTAATGGTAGTTTTACCCTGTAATGGACTGGGAATAACCTGGCTCATTGTCAATGCATAGGTTTCAGCCAAGGGAGAGAGGGGGGGCCCCTTGTGATGCTCCACACACACACACACATGCGCACATGTATATTCATGTACACACGCACGCGCACATAAACACACACCATTAAGACGTGATGACCTTTCCAAAGGTTATGCAGGGTTTACTGCAACCCCCTTTTGCAGGTTAAACTCATCAGAAGTGTGCAGGTGTGTATGTGTGTATGTGTGTGTGTGTGTGTGTGTGTGTGTGTGTGTGTGTGTGTGTGTGTGTGTGTGTGTGTGTGTGTGTGTGTGTTTCTTCAGACAGGAAGTGTCAGGTCATACAGAATAAGTACCAGGGGAAAATAAAGCTGTTTCCAGGAGTCTTCGGGGACTTTTTAGGCAGCCCACTGACAGCTTTATAAACCTCTTAACAAATGGCCGACCTCCTTCTCTCTAATGAGGCAAAGAGGTCCGAAAGGCAAGGGAAAACAGGTGTGCCCCTCAAGGTGGGTTGAAGCGCCTGGCGTGTTTGTGAGTGTGAGTGTGAGTACGTGTGTGTGTGTGTGTGTGTGTGTGTGTGTGTGTGTTCAGAGAGACATCATTTTAACAAGGGAGCAATTCTGAGGCCATTGTGACCTATATACATAGGTCACAAGCAGATTGTCAAATGTTCCTTTTTCTCACTCTTTAATAAATTGACAGAGCTGAAAACTTACAAAGACACAGGCACAACTTCTCAACATCAATTTTGAACATGAGGCGGGAAAAGGGCAGCAGGATACTACAGCCAGAGGTGGTAGGAAGTCATTCAAATTACCAAATGACAGCAAGACAGAACTGAGTCAAATTCTTGTCTTTATCGTTTCCCTCTTAAAAAGCATTTAAACTGTAGGCATGGGTCAATTTTGAATGAACAGCCTCCTGTATTTTTTGTGTATGAACTTGAGACAGTGTGTAGCCAGAAACAAGTAACTCTCCGCGAGAACTCTGAAGGGGTTATGAGATGTTGGCTTAGGGGAATTCAGTATTATTAAACGGAAGGGGCTGGGGTGATATTTTTAAGACAGTTATGACTGATACCGACTGCCCTCTTCCTATCAAACGCTTTCCTTCCGTTATGTCTTCCATTTTTCTTTATTTCTGGATTCACTCATGCGATACACAATGCATCGACATTTACTCGGGGGGCTTATGGTGTGAGTAAGCTCAGTTTTAATACCACCATAAATAACATTGTCACACCCTGTCAAGTAAACTCTACCCAGGGATGGTGGCAGAGGCAGGCTGGCCTGTGTGTCAATGTGAAAGCATCATCTGAGACTGCACAGCTACCATCAGTAAAATGTCACAATCCACACTTCACTGATCAGAAACTGAAATGCTTTGTGGATCAACACCCCCCATAATACAGCCGGTTTGAGGTCTTGATGAACAAAGTCCTTAGATGGTTAGTTCAGAGAGGGGATTTATGTATTAGCCGACTTTTTTTATGTTTTACATCATGAGGCGGCAGCAACTCAGAATACTAATCTGAAATGCAGACATGGGCTTTCGAATAATTAGCTTACGCCTCACAGAACTACATGATGGTGACTTATGGTATTAAAGGTACCATTACAATATTCAAAAGAGCAAATCCTTACATTTGTTAAATGCTATTCATGATGCATCACTGAGCACAGTGCACCCCCATACTGTGCCAATACTTAAGGCTGTAAGAGCTGAGGGGAGCTGTGTCCTAACACCAACAGCACTATGTTTTCTCTCACAACAATGAATTTCCTCCACTTACTTGAATTATGGAAACAAACACATTAATCCAGGGTCAAGATTTGAAGTATAATAGAACATTTAAAAAACGAGGACACTTCTTCTTAATGTGAGTTACAGAACTTTTAAAAGGTAGTACATAAAACATGTCCTGCTATCAGTTTGTCAACATGTGATACTTTAATGACAACGTGGGCCACTTCACAGTTAAAAGACAGAGAGATTTCATTGTAAGGTAGCCTATTATATCCTTCAACATATTTTACAGTAACACTTAAGTTAAAACTTGAGAAGAAGTGTGGTTCAACTCACCAGCTGTAAAGTGCAGAAAAAGATAAGAGTGCATCGTCCGCTGCAGCAGCCCATTGTGTCAGCGGTGAAAACGTGACTCTGTTTCGGGAGAAAATGACTTGAAAGCGGGTCTGAGGAGCTCTCAGTGTGCCGACCAGACTCAGTCCTGATCCAGGCACCAGGGTCCCATACTCCTCCGGTATTCCGGTGTTTCTATGCTGAGCCAAAAACACGCGGCAGATTCGCCCTGGCTGCTCCGGGTCTGTTTGTTTTTCCTCAGCTCCTGCCGGCCGGCCGCACTTGAGGTGACTGGTTGGGTGGGTGGGTGATTGCGAGCCGGTGTGTGAGGGGAGGAGGCGCAGGGGGTGGTCTGGGGTGGGAGGGGGTGTTTGGGTAGCCAGCCGAGGGGCGTCAACTGGTTTCTGCTGGCTGCCTGTGGTGCGACAGGAGAGAAAGTGCACGCCCGTAATTCAAAATTATTTAAACAAGAGGCAATCAATTAATTTCCATGGAGACCTAATACACATCTATTAGGCCAATTTAAAAGGCTTGATTACACAGATAAAGCAATTAAGCCAAGTTAAGGCATTTGCATGGGGGCATGTTTAAGAATCATACTAGGCTTGTTTTTTTGTTTTTTTTTACAACTAATGTCACTGTCCCAGTCTGAGGTTTATTTATTTATTGAGCGTTTTTGAGCTTGTGTGCTGAGCGAAGATCACACTATATACATCAGGGACATCGGGTTAAATCAGCTGCTATAATGTTGATGCTGCTGATGGAGGACAGGCGCCACCGTGTGACTATATGATAAGACGCACCCTGTCAAGTTTTTTTACGCACTGCATAGGGTCATTATTCAAAATGGAAGCCAATTTTTATCACTTCTATTACTTCTATGAAAACTCTCATATTTGTTCACCATTTAGAGGGTTTTTACAGTGGCAACAATATTAATAAAATAATATAATTATTTCAGGTCCCAAGTATCTTGGGGACTTCTCCAAACGATAGGTTTAATCTTATTGAGGTACTTTTCTGGTTAAATCATAATTTGTTATCCATTTTTAATATTTCTTATAGGATAATTCCCTCTTTCCACGCGCTGCGCCTCTGAAAATCATTCTCGCCATGTCTTTCTTTTCTTCACACACACTTTTAGTTTGAACCTCCAATTTCATCTTGGGTAGCCACTGTTTGGTATGTTTTAGATTATAAAAAAAGATGTTGAAAGCAACTCAGTCACCCTCTTCCTCTCGGAGTGCATGGAGGCAGGTCCCGCCTCTCTCTCTCTCACACCAGCTTGATAAATCTTTTACGCGTCTGCGGGCTGAGTGAGGGAACACTTCACATCTCATTTCATCACACACTCCTCCGCTGAGCTCCTTTAAAGGCAGCGGTCCTCTCCTCTCTTTCCCTCTCATCTCATCTCCTTTATTTTCCTTTCCTTTCCTTTCCTTTCCTTTCCTTTCCTTTCCTTTCCTTTCCTTTCCTTTCCTATCCTATCCTCTCCTCTTCTCTTCTCTCATCTCCTCTCCTCCCCTTTTATCTCCTCTCCTCTCCTCTCCTCTCCTCTCCTCTCCTCTCCTCTCCCCTCTCCCCTTTTATCTCCTCCCCTCTCTTCCGCCGTCCCACACCGCCCAGCCCACCTGCGTCCAGCCGGGCCCAGGAGGAGCTCCTCCCCCCCATTGCCAAAAATAACCACAGGGTATTAATGGAAGCTGACTAGCAAGCACGAATTGGGCTTTTTTCAGGCTGCTCTTTCATCATGAAAGCGAACAGTCTGAAAACATCGTGATCAATTTGAAGTAGCTTGCACATCACCCCCCCCCCCCCCCCCCCGCTACATCTGTGTGATAGTTTGTCTGTGCTCTACTTCAACTCCTGTCATAATTTATTTTAGATAAGCATTCTTAGGTTGTTACTTTGTTATCTGTGCCCAATCAACATCCTGCAGTATTATTACACTTTGTAGGCTACACGTGGGTTTATGACTGTGCTTATGACTTAAAAATGTTTACCTTTTGGAGACTGGAAAGTACAAATGTTGCCAATGGCGAGCTTTAAACTACAGTCAAGCCATTTGGGCTGCATTTAACAATCATCAATAATCGTCCCTGGAGGTCCACTTACAGCCTTTCTGTGGAGCTTTTTAACCATACCTTTTTCCATCAGCAGGTGAAGATGTGGGCTGAAGGCCCACTTGCTTCCTATAAACCAACACAAAAATAAGTCAAAAGTGCTTGCATGTCAAGACAATTTCCAAAGGCCAAATACTACAGTTAAACACCCGGAAAAAACGCTCTGTTTGGGGTTGTATTTATCAATGTATTATTTTCAATTTTAAGAATGAACATTTATTATATTTAACCATTATTTCTGCTTGTGATGAACATACTATTGATCTTGCTACACACAACTCACAACGTTTAACTCCTAAGACAGTGTTCAAAAACACAGTTTGTCTGAATTACATGAGGTTGTAAGGTTGGCACCAGCGGGTCGAACATATTATTAAATGCAGGAGCAATTTTTTGTGTGTAGTCAGTGGCATTAACCAATTTGTTTATAATGGATGTCATGTTTTACGGTTACACATGAAACCAGTAAGTGCAATAGCTGCTAGTAGAATACATTAGTGACTGTGCTGAACGTCTTGCAAGCATGAAGCTCACTCATTCACAACTGCATTTCTTATGAGAACATGTTTTCTAAATGTGTGCCATAGAAATGTCTGTGCGTGTGTATCTGGGTGGGTGGGTGGGAGGGAGACTCAGAGAGAAAAGCCAAGGCTGAAATAAGGTCACTGTTATACTTCTATTAGGAGCCTTGATGGAAGTTCTCCTTGTGTTCCAGTTTTTGCTCAACACCTCCTTATCGAGTGACTGCGAGTGTGCGTGTACGTGTATGTGTGTGTGTGTGTGAGTGTGTGTGTGTGTGTGTGTGTGTGTGTGTGTGTGTGTGTGTGTGTGTGTGTGTGTGTGTGTGTGTGTGTGTGTGTGTGTGTGTGTGTGTGTGTGTGTGTGTGTGTGTGTGTGTGTGTGTGTGTGTGTGTGTGTGTGTCTAGAACACTTATTTCATGACAAGTGTGTCCAGGCCCTCAGGGGCTACTGTTCGCCACAAAGACACTAATGTGAAGTGACAGGACAGCCAGTGGTGAGCTGCTCTGAGGGGACCTGCATTGTGGTGGAGACCCAAGAGTCTGGCTAGTAGGTGGACAACAATAGAGCAAAGACCTCAAAAGGACAAGCCTTTATTTCTCTCTGAAAGCGTCTTAGGCTGTCGCTTCTAGTTCCCACTCTCTCTGCCTTTCCCTCTGTTACTCTTTTTCTTTCTCTGTTTCTCTTGTCATACTTTTTGGCGCTCAAACAGCCCAGCGAAAATTCTTCATGCAGACACTGCCTGTTTCACTCTTATCTTACAGCCAATTCCTCATTTTGTGAGGCTGACGAAGACATGACAGCAAACTAGATTGTATATTTTCTTACACTCGCAGCATTCTGAATGACTCTCCCGAATAATTGCGGTGAAACAGTAGTTTGCTTACACCACAGGCATACAAAAGATGTCATTACTCATGCTGAAATACTGTGTGTCACCTAGGGAGCTGCTGTGCAACAAGGAAAACACCAACTATTTGTCATTGGTGCACCTAACACCTACTGTGGCAAATAATACATCATAACCTTAAATCAGCTAAATGAGCTGCTCCCTTCAGCTCTAAAATACATTTATCAACACAAACTACCCTACATACTGTAGCTGAAAATTACAGCTACCACCAGATGTCCCTCAAGCATATGAATGTTTCTTTATTTAGGCCCATACTCATAAAAGTTTAAGATTATGCATGTGCCCTTGGAGGCAGAGTCTCGTCTGATTTTTCTTCACTATCTTGCCATGAAGAAAAATCCTAGACTTGATGAAGAATAAATACAGAGGCTATTATGAGGAGCATGTCAATAATTAATAATGGGATTATGCTTTGGTGAAAATACTGGTCCCTAGAATCGCTTCTGAACATTTCATGTTATTCTAACGCTGGCCACTTGGAGGCACTCGTCTATGAGGTCAGTTTTATTGAATGGGTGCCTTTACAGCTACGTCAAGCCAGACACAAACTTGGAAAACACAGCATATAAGGTAGGTTTCCTTCAAAGTAAAAGCATATAGTTAGTTGGATGTATTCCCCCCCATTACTGTATCTAACAATATAATGGCCTAACCTAAACGCTAGAATGTATACAGTCTATGTCCTAGAATAGATGCACACGTTGAATAGGAAAAATAACAAGGAAATCAGAAGCTCTCTGGGGGAGGATAATAATGTGTATTGCTTTATACACATAAGGTGAGGAAATTATAACCCCACATTCAAAACCGATTTAAAATTTGGAGAAGTAGAGCTTAATTATGTGTAGGCCTTCGACTGATGCACTCTTTGTTGTTTAAAATGGGCCAAATAGCTGACGTGATGCTGATGTGTCAAACTATTCATTGGACAATAAAGCTGTTTTATTATACATAATACCATGCACTTCCAGAAAGGCTCCACCTAAACCACTAGCGGGTGCAAATATTCAATAAAATAAATGTGGCCTAAGCTAAGGTGGCTAACAACATGTTGGATAACAATTGATGCAAAATTGAACACATTGCTTGTTAACAACGAAGCATACCTGTGAAGTCTTTTTTCTAGAGAAATGTTGAATAAGTCGAGTTTTCACCTGAAAGCCCATTTTCGTCTACGAAGCCTAAATATAACATTATGTCTGGTTCTTGAGGGCTGCATGTCTTCGCTGGTGTAGGTTGTGATGGTTGTAACATTGTAATACAGGCCTACTTGTGTTCCTGAGAACACTGACAAGAGCTAAGCTAAGTGAAACAGATTTATATTGCATGAAGGTCTATAAATAACTTCATATGATTTAATTGGCTACATATAAATATTATGAATTAAATCAACACTCACTTTTATTTATTATTTTATTTATTTTTACAATATGTATACCTTGCTGAAGGTAGCCAAAGTGATTTTTATTGTCACTAGAATTTATAGAACAAAACGCTACACATAGCAATGAATTAACACAATAAAAATAACACTGTATTCAAATATTTTTAATTTGATCTGCGCGTGTTTAAAAATATAGGTTTATTGATCCAATTATAATTGGCCAAACGTTGACATAAGTAAAACATCAAGAACACTTGTAATAACTTTTTTTAATTCCATTTATTTTTAGCCGTTTTTCTCAAATGCTATTATGGTTTATTGATAACATTTCCAGCGGGCTGATATTCAGTTTTAATCGTTTTATTTTATCCAAACTTCATTAGGATTATTGTATTTGTTTATTAGTGTTTTATTCTGAAAGGCATACTGGAAATCGATGTTTTCATTCTTTTTGCGTTGACAGTTGTTTCAGTCACATGGTGCTGCTTTACCGAGAGCTGATGGAGCCAGATGAGAAAGGCAGGAGGCGAGCCCCTCCGGTTGCGCGTCAGCATCCCCTCAAATAGGAATCCGTTGCTGTCACTTCTGCTCTACATACTGAGAGACGGGCGACTGTTACCCTGAAACAACAATCTGAAGGCGAATTTCACTTGACATGCAGCTGTTTTTGCATGTGATGCCAAAGAAGAAGAGTCAGGGGAGGCTGTGAGGAGGCTGGCGCTTCGCAAAGAATGATAGTGAGGATCCAGGCGTGCTGTCCCAGGAGAACTCATCTGAAGAGCTGGCCTCGAGAGACCGGGATGCTCGTCTAACGCACCGGGGGGCGAGTGAGTACAATGCATCTCCACCTCTTTCATTTCGGTTTTACTTTGGTGACATATGGCAGTTTTGGACCGTTCAGCGCGCCCGTCCCTCTTTATCGCCTCTGAAATATTTCCTGCTCAATCCCACCTGTCTGATCAATCATTCATAGGCTTCTTAGTAAAGTGCAGCATAACGGGTGGGTCAGCGATGTGTGAAAGTTACCATGCTAATTTGGAAACGGTGCACTTTCCCATTGCACACACCCGCAACTTAATGCATGCACGCATCAAGGTTTAATATCATGCAGTGCCTTACAGTGGGTGATTGGGAGGTCGATCATGTTCCCTTTAAAGTTTTGATTAGAGTGAGCATGTGTTGCACACTGCGGCCACTGTGTCGTTGCAAGGCTAATTAATAAAGCCTTTGTGAGGGGCTCTCCTATCACAGGCACTCATCATTAATCCGCTGATGGCCCGGAGGGCGTGGGTTGCTGCTGTATGTGATGATAAGAGAAAGGCACCAGTCCTACTTACATAGCAGGGCTGATTAATTATGGACTCCGAAAATGATGAACTCAGAGACTGTAGGGTGCAAGAGAGCAGACACAGGCATGTCAAACAAATGTTAATATCAATTTGATGTTTAATCTTCCGCTAATAGGTGACATTGCAAGTTCTGTCTGTTAAGATACAACCATTATAGCTTTCTGTCTTGAAATGAGTGCTTCTCTATAGAACTATATAGAACAACTATGGTATATCTAAAATAGTATGCAATACATGTCTCACCTGTAATAAGATCGGAGTGAAGCCCCGCGGTGCTGCTCAATGTGTGGGTGTGAGGAGAACTTCTCAAGCAAGCTCAGTGCATGTAGATGAATGAAATCCTCTTACTATGCAGCAAGGGTTCCCATCTCCAGAGTGTGTGTGAGTGGGTGTGTGTGCATGTATGTGTGTGTATTTCACCTCATTACACTCATTGTGTTGACTTAAGCAGGAGGGTCACCCCTGAGGCCCATTCTCCTGCCTTATTGAGGAGTGATGCCCTGAATTACACCGCACTAGCACTGATTGCAGGGGCAGGGGCACAATGGGAGAAGCATTGCAGCTCAGGTTAGCCTCACTGTTTGACTGAAACATCACAAATGTATGTGACGTATGTTTCCAGGCATAGATAAGCCACTGCATTACACAATCACCAGTATGAAACTGTCCCCCACTTACTGCAAGTGCATGTTGTTGAGAGGTGCTTAACTCTTGGATCTCGTATATTTCAAATTTGCGATTGAGCTCCAGCTTTGGGCAATTATGTTCACAGCCTGCCCACGCACACTTTGCACAGGAGCTCCTCTATTCTTGGTTGTTCTACAAACTGACAAAAAAATCTCCCTTACAGCCTATGTACTGCATTTCTCCCGAGGCGTTCTCAATACTCTCCCTTTGTATGTATTAAACATCAAGCATGTCGAACTGCAGGCGCGGGGCCGAGCACTTTAAGGCAGAGTCAGCCTTCTGTGGAGGGTGACAGAACAGTCAGATGGCCCCCACAGGGCACAGAACAATTCCTGCTGCTGATGCACCCAAGGCGACAGGACTGGAGCGCTCCTTCCTCCTCCCTCCCTCCCTCCCTCCCTCCCTCCCTCTATCGCTCGATCCCTCCCTTCACTTCCACCTTCCATCCCATCCTCCCTTCCCACCTTCATCTCATTGAAAACACTCTCTTGAGTTCACTTGCACACCTGCACCACGGCTTCTGTGCACTGTCTACCTCCCTCTCTTCTTCTCCTACTCAGGCATACATACCCGTGCGAATGTTGTCTCTTTTATAAACTCACATGCAGACCTTAAGAGTGATATTTAGGAGTGGCTGTTAAGCTTATACATTATACCTGCTCTCACACACATCATCAGTATAATTTTCCATGTACATATCTTCCTTACATCCAGAATAATGCCCACGCTTAGTCTAAGCATCTCTATTAGATACACCTATACAATCTAATGCAGTCAAATACAATTGTTCTTAAATAAAGTTTGCATTTTGTTGCTTGTAAGTTTCAGTTTTTCTTACATTATCACAGAGGTGTTTAATAAGATTATAGGATTACATTACATGTCACTTGTTAGATGCTTTTATCCAAAGCGACTTACATACATTCAGTACTGTGGACAATCCCCACAGGAGCAATTTGGGGTGAAGTGTCTTGCCCAGGGACAGAACGACATGCTGACTGCAGTGGGACTCGAACTTGGTACCCCCTGATTCAAAGTCCAGCACACTCCCCACTGAGCCACAGCCTCCCATTGGATTACCAGCTACTGTTGTTTTTTTTACTAGACTGCATTATATTGGGAGATCTGTCTGATGTTCTGCCACATGACAAAAAAACTGAAAAACTTCTCAATATAATAAAATCCAGTGCAGCACATTATTTTACCATGACATCACTAATTAATATATAATATAATCAATACATTTCCACCAACAAAAAATGAACGCTTTCACACAGGTACATTTATGACAGAGCTGTTGTAGTGAAGACCATGGATTGTGAAGGTGTACTTAATAAAGTGTCCACTGAGTGTAGATCAATCATTAAGGTATCTACACTCATACATGCAGTCAACATGTCCTAAACACAGCTACACATAATAGTTAAATGGAAAATAATATAAAGAACACATTTATTTATGTTTTGATGTCAGTCAGATTTTGAGTTGTGCATCAAACGTAACATAGGCTTACTCTATGCACATATAGTTGTGGCGTACACTGTTAGCTGGCTAATGAACAGACAATACACCTGCTATTATTGGGCAGTTAAAAAACATGAGAAAATGCTAGTGAAATATTATGATATATCTTGTGCGATTGAGAATAGTGTTACAAATATAATGATAGTTAACTGTATCATATAGAAAATGACTGCATGTGTTATGTAGAATAGCGGCGAGTGTTTCATCAAAATGTAAATTGTATTTCACTTGTATTTCCTTGTTCGCTTACCGCTCTCTAAGCAATAAAGTTGTGATCCAAACAATAAGACAAATCACAGTGCCAATGAACTTGCTATTGTTCTTCCAAACTTACTGAGTTTAAAGTTGTCCTCAAATGCTCTGCTGCTTGATTTAAATTCTCCTTGAAGCTTTAACATCGCTATAAATGCCACATAGTAGTTACAGGCTTTTTCAATAGGCATTAAACCAACCGGTCAATTTAAACTGCCTTCCTGTCTAATAAAACTACCTTCCTTTTCAATGAACACTAAATAATATTTTCCACCACAGCCATTCCCTCTTTTTCATAGAGTAGGTAATCATAGTCCTACAAAGATAAATACCGATTAAACAGAGAGAGTGTATGATGGTGTGTCTGTTAGTGAGAATTACAGTGTTTATAAGGGAGAGCAGCGGTTCACAGTTATTTAGGGTTTTGAAAATGTCAGTCATTGTCCAAAGCCTTCGGTTGTTTCTAAAAGGTGCAAGAGTGTGATTGGAGCTCTACAGATCACAGAGTAAATGGTCCGTGAATCTTTGAAGTGTGTATGCGCACATGTGTGTGTACATGTCAGCTGAGTGCATAATAGCTCAGGGATCAGGTGGGGGGGGGCGTAGATTGGCCAGTCAGCCAGACAGATGTGCCCTAGCCCGGACTTGGAGTGCGGGGCCTGGAACTGGCCTGCCACCCAGCATTAGTGCCATGGATCCGTGACCAATGGGCTCAGGGCACCAAAACTCACTGTCTGCATAAAATGCTCTCAATTATTAATGCCGTGTATAGGGCAATAAGAGGCATTGCAGAGACCAAGGGAGGAAACAAGGAAATGGGCAGTGAAGGGAGAAAGCAAAGGCATGACAGGCAGATAAAAGTGAGATGAATGAATGAAACCGTTTTTGAATCGTTTTTTTACTCCACTGTTGTCCATATTGAACATTGACATTGAGCACATATAATACCACATCTAAACAAAACGAGATCAGCATAGCAACCAAAGATTAAGAAAGATGATGATGGCGCAGCACATTATTGATAGTCTCAATAACTCTCCTCCTAGAGAAAGAAAAAGGACATTGACCTTCATCTTTTTCACACTACGGTACATTTTATCTCAAGGCTGACACCTGTTCCTGTGTCCTGCTTGTTCAATCTGTACATTTAACATATAATTATACAGAATCCCCCTCAATAATTGCTGAGTGCACAGGCAGTTTAGCATCTGTCATTTCAGTGTGCACTAAATACATCTCAGGCTGCGTTCAGCATTGCAGTAGCTTGCCATTAGAGTGGGAGCACTGTAATTCATAAGTATTGATTCATGTCTCAGCAGCATTACAGCATAATGTCCCTGAGCATGACTGTATACAACACTATAAACAAGCAGCAAAGAAAAAAACACTGATTTACATAGATATTCTGTTAACCCCCCATTAAGTCTAATGTGATACAGTCATTATACAAGAACAGGAAATAATAAGCTTGTTTAGAACATTGTAGCTGCATTATTACATGTAGATAATCCATCCTAGTTTCCCTTATAGCCAACCACCCGTACTGAGAAACATGCTTTTCTCCTGAGGTGTGTTTTGGTGCTTTATTAGTGAGAAATGTACCAAAATGCTACATTGTGTGTGTGCCTGTAAGCACATTTGTTTCCAAGGTTAAAACCATACTCCTAGCATTTCTTTAAACTTTTAGAGAGTTTGAAAACTTTCTCAAGGTCTCAGCATCAGGTTCAATGTGCTCCATTAAGGGAACACATTTTTTTTCAGCCTCAGCTCATATGTAGTCTTAACAGTGCTCTTTGATTTATTGGCCTTCTTATGATGCTGTATAAAAAATCCCCTCCTTAATATATTCATGTGTGGCTTTATCATTTATCACTGTCACTGTCACCTATGCCCTTTATCTTAAAACGTCTAAGGCCGTGTAGTTGCCACTTTAGCCCCAGTTTGACCCTCCCATGTACTTTCACTACTCTCGTTCAATTCAAAAGTAAACTTAAACATAATTGCATTTATCATGG